ACCTAAACAATCATATTTGAACGAAATAGGAGAACCAATAAATACTACACTTCAATAAAACGAATATACCATTCGCAAACAACTGAAATAAACATGAAAGCAATTTAGTATCGTAAAAATATTCTATTGAACGAAATTTAAAGAGTTTCCATTTCCAATAATATTCGTAGAGAATGCAAGGGTACATGAGATAGAGACTATTATGCAAACAGTCCAACTTGAACGTACGAACAATGAACAATTGTAACTTTATGTGAGAACTTCTAACTTTGTCGCTTTAGAAGCGAATTTTGATGTTTCAGTACTTAAATTTTCGTCATTTTACATGGTATGAGTGTTATTAAGAATAGTTTTTATTGCTAAATACGTATTAAGACTAAATATTTGAAGTATTATGCGACCAAACCCAGCCAGACTTAAAAAAGTTAAGAATTTCAAAATTTTATCATTAGTCCACTCCACTGTAACCTTCCCCAAACTCTTTCAATGTTCATAGTTTTCTAGTTTCGTTCAAATACTCTGGAAGTAACCTTATCCAAACGTGTCGTACAGTAAAATTTCTAATTTATGGTCTTCATGTTCCACAGTTACTCTTGCGCCATCTATGTTGTTCGTATCATGTACAAAATAATTACAGTCCTTCGTATTGGCTATTCTATCATCAGATAAGTCACAATGTTCTTAGCTCTAGCCAGCTACAACAATATTTGCACTTTGATTAAATGTATCTATGTTATCTCTTTCAATTCCTTTCTAAATAACTGTTTCAATATTGCAAAATTTTAAAAGCAGAGCACAAGCTGTAGTATTGTGTTATTCTAGTTTAATCAAACCAGTAAATTCTAGAGTTTGCGTGTGAAAACGAGAAAATGAAAGCTTAGTAGTACCGTAGGACGCAAGGTCCCTCCGCCCTTGCTTTAGCCTTGCACTTTGATTAGCCTTGGTTTTATCAATGCATTTCACCACTGCAAGCACTTCTACAGAATGTTCTAGAACTTCCTTTAGAATAACGATTTGAAAAGACGTGACCATTTTTCTTGCCTTTATTTATTTACCTTTACATTTGTGGGCATCAATGTTCTTTTATAATTTTTTCTGATATTTGATACTTACGTACCTTAAATGTCAACACGTTGGGCACTTAATTTTATGAACGCCATAACTTGAATCCCAAAGCCTTACTAGTCATCACATTTCAACAACATTGTGCCATGAAAATAAAAATATTACGTTCATAATATTCTACCATTCGTGGACTCGTGTAACGACCTCACCACGGCCTTTATTTACGAAGAATTACAACCCATCAACAAGGATAGTTTACGAACACCTTTATAGCATTAAATAGTGTTCCTTTATTAGCAGAACTTTGTAAGTTTATCTCGCACGGCATCAGTACCAATAATAATCTTAAAGTACACAAACATCGAAGGTATGCAGATTTAATCTTGGCGCCGTAACTAGAGAACAAAGAAAATAAAAATGTACTGTAAGACGACACACAGCCATTAACATCGGTATTGTGAAATTATAGTGTATTGAAGCTAAGGATATAACAAAATGTTCGCTGCGAAAATTTATGTAAAAGATTTCAATTCAAAACATGTAGAGAATAACTTTATGGACGCTCACTTCCTCGCTTTCGACGATTTTAACGTTTGGTTTGAAGAAAACAAAGCTATTCGTACTTGAATAAGTAATATCGGAGGTAATACTTGATATCAAATTCCCCCTTTTGTTCTACATTCGTTCTTATTATTTCCCCGTTGTCGTGGGAACTGCGAGTTTCTTGAAGGCACGTGTCTTCCTTAAGTAAAAATGAAATGGGTCGGCCTTTTATCTCATGATATAATGGAGAGTTTCGTTGCCTTAGTCGCTGGAGATGTTTCCTAAATTAAGACAGACGATACTAGGGTCTTTCATAAATCTAAGTTGTTTGCTTGAGATGTACTACTGGATCATTTGTTGTTCACTGTTTACTTTTGAATATTCTTTTATTATCGCTTTATTGTACAAGGATAGTGGTTAAGATAGATTGTCTGATAAATGAAGCTTTTCTATTTAAGTAGCAGCCTTACTTGGTTCAGTAGCGTTGCGTTTGCCGCCTACAATTCTGTCATATCTATCATATCATATCAATTGAATACAAAGCGAACGGTAGAAATCTTTTCTCAATCTACAAACTACCTCTTGTAGCCCGCCCCTGCAAACATATCGGTAATCGAACAAAGGTAACTCATTGTGTAAACTCTCATAGAGATCCCTTATTAGTTTATCTAGTTGTCACTTTCGTAATGTTTAACGAAGCACTGTCAAACATAATCAAACTGGTCCCCTTCATAATAAATTGTGCCTATATTCGTTGGCACGGTTCTAATAAAATAATTGTGTCCATTGACTTATGTTGCCCAATGTTTGACGCAACTGAATTGAAGTACTTCTAATAAGACATAATCCGATACCTCAATGTGCTTACGTTTCAAAAGAGTTTTGACATATGTTACATCTGTAAGCTTTTGAATTCTAAAGTCTTTTGTCCCTAAATGGTCGCGTAATTGATTAATTATTGTCATAAAACGGGACGAGACTGTCTACTCACATTCAGCATCGTCATCAATGACTCATTGCGTAAACCCCATTATTCCTAATTACACCATGTGTTTTAATTTTACAATAATTTGTGTCACCATTTTCTAAACTATTGTGAAATCATTTATCTTTCTTATATGAATATATAAGATACATATACCCTAATTTATTGCCAAATTATGGTAATACGTAATTATTATAGACATTGACAACTTCGAATTTGTGGTAACTAATGTGCACAATTCAAATTTTGCAATAAAGCAGTTTGGTTCTAAGTACCTGCCAACGCCCACTAAGATGATATCTTTCCAGAACTTACTCGTCAGTTACATATTAAGTTTGAAATGCTATATTTAAAATCTCAGCGTGTAGTGAAATCTTTTTCGTAAAAAGTAGTGGCACTGTGGCGGACCATCGAGACGGTACGATGCGCCGATAAAATAGCTACGTGATTTCCCCCGCGCGGGATCCTCCAATCTTTTCATCTCTCCCCATCCGCTTGGATCGTCTCGTGTTCCAGCAAAGATGCAGTAAACACACGGACTGTCAGCTGGCGGGAATATCCAACGACTTTACATTCAGACTAAGTTTAGAAATCGCATTATTGAAGTACTCCCTCGCGGATATAAGTGCCGTATTGCCAGTCTCAAATATCTTGAATAAGGCGAACAGATTTATTTAGTTATCGTTCCCTGATAGGTTATTTCACTAGATTTTTACTACTATAAAATTCGTTTCTTGTTTTCTATAGTTATTACTGTAAGAAAATCCTCATTTCTTGCAGACAATAAAGTGAAAATGAAGTTTTATTAGAGAAACGTCCTGATCCTTGATTCGTTCAATTGCACAAGAATTCTGCATTCGTAATATAAAGTGGGTTGGTTGGGAATGTCGTTTAACTTCTTTATGTGATGAAAGTTCTGAACGAGACAGTCTGTGGGCAAATGGGTGTCCGTTTAATTAAACTATGTATGTTGTAGAAGGAGCAATTCTTTTCTCGCAATTTACCTGAATTTTAAATGCCATTCCATAAATTGTTCACAAAAACTTAACGTCGTACCTACACATTTTTAGCGCTCCAAAGTAATAAATTTTATGCGACATTCTCTTTAAATTTCATTAATATTACGTAAAAGGCCCACAAACATGGCTATAAGTCCCGTGGGAACTATAACAATTTGCTCGCAATCACCTGAGCCCGGTGTCTGCCTACCATGCGCTCAACTCAATAATGCATGAAGCCCGTCAGTCGTCCGCTGCGCCGAACAGACTCTCTAATTACGGCAAACAACACAAACGGTTTATTCCCACCTCAGGGCACGGTTATCGAACCCACTACTTAGAAATATTATATACCTAGATAAACGTACAATATGCAAGGCCATTAGTCTAGCAGTGACGCAATAGCAACAGCACGCCGCTGGCGAGCCAGTGACCTCGCTCAATATATCACACGCCGCTGGTGGGGTCGCACCACTCGTAAATTCTATTTCCGCGTCATCGACTATTCTTTAATGCCACAGCAGTGAACGAGGGCCACAAAGCTTTGCATATAAATATATTGCCAACCTGCATGAGTCAAATAGTGGTTGCGCGCCACGCAGGCTGCGACACTACATCAGTGCCATCGAGAGCGAGCTGAATGCGTTCCGGAATGTTCTCAGGATGGCGCGGACCGTCGCCGGCACGTCCTCGTTCTCTCCATAATACTTTTATATGCGATAGTATATGTGCTGACCGCACCGAAGATACTTTATACGCGCGTTCTCCGCGTGAACCACCGAACCGCACCGGATTTATTTCACAGAATATTTTCTGAGCTCCAGCTCTTGTATAGTACCGCGCATAAATCAGACGATCGCAATCGCGATGACTAGCGACTCCTCGCGATGAATATTTTCTGAAAGGAAAATAGAGAACCGAGCGATCCCGGTAAGGAACGAGCTAGCACTTACATTCTTTCGATTGCTTTTCGCGTATTTTATTCTAACGTTATCGTAATGAGTCATAAAATTTTATTGCTCATGTCGTAAAAGTGAATCTTTGGTTGGGTCTGAAGGTGGGATGCAATGAAGCGGGAACATTGATGGTATGAGTGTGGGACAAAGCTCACACCGCGACGCTGGCACCACAAACGTGCCAATTGTCGAATAACAGAAAGACGCGATTTGAGAAAAATTAGGTGCCGCGCCACAGGATGCAATTTAGTTTAATGATCACTGTGGCGCCGCTGGTGCCCCGTTTTATTATTTGCAAATGCACTTACATAATTCATTTTCCCTCTTAAACGTTATAGGTAGTTTAAAAGCATTATTATTTATGGAAATAAGAATCGAAGAACTGTCAAAGTACAACGGCAATTTGCTTAAAGAAATGATTTGTCCATGATTATATTTGCCATGCACTTGATAATGAAGCCGCTTCTAAACCGGCACACTTGCATTCGCTCTGATGAAGCGAAAGTGGTATATCAGGTCAACCTCTAGACACCCGCTGATGTTTATAGTATAAAATTAAAAAATATCAACTTTCACTGGCTTCATTGTGGCTGCAAAAAAAGCGTAAAAGATGCGGCTACGCAGCGAAACGGTGTCAGTGGTAACACTTTTATTTTTCACGTATTTAGAATATGTTTGCGTATCACTTCCCATGGTGAGGTATTACGCATTGAATAGTAACTGATCGATTACGTTGTGTTTATGTCTGCGTGAAGAGTTACACGGTGAGAGAAAGCCCGGCGACATTGGGCCGGTATCGCAGAAGTGGGTTGGTGCAGGCGGCGGCGGCGCGCGCGCAACTAGGTGAGCGTGTCGAGGTCGTGACGTCACCCGCTTTCTCTGCGCGCGCGTTGTGCAACTACGCCCGCGCCGCTGCTGCGCTGCTCATTGCAATCAGCGGCAATGCACCTTCAAGTTACATTTTGGCCTGACTCATCAATGAGAAAAAATGGTTAATGTGGCAAAGTCTTATGCAACTCTCTGCACACCTTGTACTCAATGAATGAGTCATTCATTTACTAAGTGTTTCCTTAACATTGCTTATCTTAGCCATTCATTGCTACGCACACAATCCTTAATGACCTGTGGGATACCCACATAGCAACGTCATCAAAGAAAACCTCGTGAATCAGCGATAAACCCACTAAGGTGTTATTTTCATTTCTAATGAATTTTCCTCTTCTCAAACAGGTTTACTCTATAGTGGTATTTATGTACGAGTCTATTAATTCAATTGCGTATGTCAAATGGTATTGTACGCTGTGATGTAATTGATTCATAGAAAGTAACTATAGGAAACAAGTTGAATATTATTAGCGGTCTTATCATCTTTGTATGATTCATTACTCTCTTGTATATCGTGTTAGTAATTTGGTCTATTTAATAAAGTATCTCGTATGTTTGACTGATGGTGATTATTTTATACTAAATGTCATCTGAGCCTTCCCTTCGATTTGTATTATATGTACTATTGTTCCTTGCTCCGTCTCGTTATTTATCAAATATGGTTCGTTTACTTTTAGCAAATATGGATAGACTTGAAGGGTATTGTTTTAGTATTACACATGTCATGATACTAGCCCTATCTAGACAGTATAAGGTATATAGGATTAGGATCTATTATGAAACTGTTCTGAATAAGTAGGTATAAAAATAAAACAATAATTATTAAATGAAAGGATATTCGTATCAACAAACATGCTGAGTAAACGGCCATCATAAAACATTTCATACAATATTTTATTGTTTAATATAAAATACAGATCAACAAAAGATGTTTCACTTTCGGTAAAAATCATAAATGTTTTGCTTATTTAAATTCACATTTTATGATTAACAGTAAAAGTTTTAAAGCATTGCTTGCTATAGTGATATAAAACATTTACTTTTATTAGTTAACAGTTAAATTTAATTAGTTGACGGCTTTAGATGACTTGATAAAGGTCGTAGGTCAGTTCCAACCAAAGAAAACCGACGTGAAACAACGCTTGCATTGTTTCGTCGTGTGAGGTTACCGGATGCCTACCCCCCACCCCTCATCCTCAAATTCCTAATCCCCAAATAGCCAGTAACGCACTTGTAACAAGCCTCTGGTGTTCCGGATGTCCATAGGCTTACCTCGTTTACCGGCTTATCCCATAAAAAAACCTGTTTGTCAGTAGATGTCTTGTATTTGACATAATGGTGATGGGAATCTAGGAATATATTACGGATATTTTCCAAAATCTTTTCATTTTGTCTTCCTAATAGAAAATTATCACTGTGATGGTTTTACTGAAAAATAAACCCTATATCTACTAAGATTTAGTTGTGTTTGTTCCTTTTCCATGCTTTATTAGTGTAAAATCGCCAAAAAGACAAGAAAATATCCTTATTCTGTCTTAACATTACAACAAACACGAATAAAATCCACAAAACCAGAGCAGCAATGTATCCATTTGTCCCTTATTTTATCAGAAACAAATGCCTGACTTAACAAAAGCTGGCGTAGGATTTATTTATACTTAATCTGATATTTGGTTGGACCGATTAGTGAAGGCCCTTAGATAATCTTGGAGTCCCAGTTAGGATTATACTGTGACCCTCGTGACCACAATTCATTACTTTTGGTTTCTGACCTGAATTTCTGAATGTCAGAATGTGAACTTCATTTCTGCTCATTGGCCGAGTGGTCGCAAGTGCGACTGCCGGGCAAGGGGCCTCTGCTTCGATTCCCGGGTCGGGCAAAGTATTACTGGGTTTGTAAAAACCTCAGTAGTAGCACGGAGTCTGGAAATGTGCCCGATATATGGCAATAGGCTCACCCCTATTACATGGGACTCAAAAATAAATAGTAAAAAGTAGGTGTTAATGTGCACCTCTGCCTACCCCTTTCGGGGATAAAAGGCGTGATGTTATGTTATGAACTTAATTTTTATATATTCTGGATAAATAATAAGAGCAAATTTTTCAGTCATCAGTTATTTCATAACTGTACAATAAAATTGAAATCTGACAGTTTTTAGTATGGAAGAATAATGTTTAGTATGAAAATTGTTTTACTGTGAAATATTCAAAGCTATTCCCCAGTATTAACTGATTGTTTTTTTCTGTCAACTACGGGTTTCCTTTTTGTGAGATTTTACCATTATCTTCGCATTTGGCAAATTCGTTGGAGATCATAGTTTAAAAACAGCTTATCAGACACAGAAAGAAAGTTCCGCTGCTTGATAATTCTCTCCAATTTTATATGCCTTAGAAAAACCTTATTTTTTAAACTAATAGATGCGTTAAATAAACTAATAAATACCAATGGCAATAAAAAAAAAAACTAGTGACACATGATGTTCATTTCTATCCTCATAAAATCGATTTTTCGATATCAGCTTTTTATCTAATGGTATATCTAATATCCGTATAGTCCTTTCAATAGGAAATAATTTGTCATTAGAAATAAGTGGAGGTCAATAACCTGTGAAAAATGTGGCTCGAAATAAGTCACAATAAAGGCGAAAATTGTATATTCTGTTCAAGCATTAACTGGGAAAATTATCTACCTACGATACCTAATAATCCTAATTATGTGTATAAGAATTAGCTTGTATTTATAATATCAAAAGAAAGTATCGAAATTATACCTAATCAAGGAAAAACCCGTAATAAGTAGTTTACTCTATACTACAAAAATATATGAACTTATTTCCCACATATTTTCCGCCCTGATATTCCCACAGGATCAGGACCAACTCAAGAATAATCTTTTGAATTCCCCTCGGACATACCAACAGGAGAAAATCTAGAACACAACAAAGTATAGTCACATTTCATCTGTCTTCAAATAACATAAACCAAATAAATTCAAGAAAGCAAATTCCGTTTAAAACTTACACCAAAACACATCACACTATAAAACCATGTATCCATTTTACGATCCACACAAAGCACGGACAATTGTTAACATCCCGGGATTGCCGTCATCCCGGAGCGATCCCGGCAAATCCCGGGACGCTGCGGTTTATTACCTCTATCCTGATACTCCAACTAGATTTACTATCTTGTTTGCTGAAATTTAATCTCGGTGACCAAGATGATGCAATAGTAATTAGAGCGCAGCGTAATTATGGCATGGGATTATTATTGGCGATTTGGATAATTTAGTGGTGATTCGTTTTAAAGATGATAGTTATACTGTTTTAGTGATTTAGGTAAAGCGGGAAGTATATGAAGATGATTTTGTCTATTTTGAAGTGGGGTTTATAAGTTCGGTATGATTCATAGGGTCACACGGAATTAGAGAAAAGTAAATATAGCAATTATATTAAAAATAAAAGCATGGAAAGATGTTTTGAATTTACATGTAGGTAACACGATTTTAAGGATAGGTCTTGAATAAATAAATAAATAAATAAAAGCATACAAATCTTGAAATATAAAGAGTTTAAATGAGATATTTGTTGTGAATAAATCAAACTATTTAGTAGTTTGAACTATACAGTAAATGATTACGATAAAAGGTCACATCACAAAACAACCTTCGCTTTGGGAAACCCATCTGGTAGATTGTTAGGAAATGCTAAGATAAAAAATTCACCAGAATTTCCGTGTACACAAACAAAAAACAATTACAGATTAAGAAATCTGAAGTTGGGAAGTACAAATTAAGAAGAGTTTTTAAATTAAAAAGTATAATGACGCTGCTTAAACATAACGTACCAGCCATAGCAAGTTATGTATAGTTTTTGATTTATTCGTAACAGTAAAGTTCACAATACGGCTATTTTTTTAAGGGGGAAATATTATCGAATGACTTCTGCCGCCTGGGTGAAGTGGTAGGGAGTGTTAGACTCTTGCCTACTGACTAAAAACCACCCTGTTCCTACTCCTGCACTTCGTGCCGGCGCCTTGGTATCCCGTTAAGTTTTCCACAGCTATGCAATATGGCTATGCAACTGAAATTAAAAATGAATTAAACACAAATTGCACCTACAACGAAATCCTCAGAGTAATAGAAGAGAAATAGATGTCTTTAAAATGAAAATTATTTCTTTTCTCAAAGTCTCTATTTCTTATTCTCAACTTCAATTCAATCTTCCCAACATTCATTCAAGAATAAGCATCTATTGTTTCTAGAAATCGCTTCCCTTTTCTCTCACAACGAATATAATTTCCAGATAACTAGTACTCACGTCAAGTAGCCAATTATAATATGCAGAATTCGCCCACCACTTTCAGTTGAACAACGTCTCAAGAAGTCTGCAAGGCTTTTGCATTTATTATTCGCATAAATAAACAAGTTTCTACAAATAATGAATAACAACAATTTGCTTTTTATTTGTATTTTTTCTTTATTTTTTGTGGAAAGTCTTGTTATTTCTAGAGTCACTGAAATGAAATGCAATATGACGATCATATTATGTAGGTACATACCTATTTGCATTTGTAAACGATCACACTTCACCAAACTATGGCACATTGGTAACATAATTATCCTGTTCTAGCATCTTATTAATCTTACTAGCAGCGTGTGTGAGGACTATAGCAAAGTCGCTTACGTTGAGAAGGCCTCCAATTTAGCTGTGAACTATTACATACTTGTTAATTGTAAAGCTGTCTCTAGTTATTCCAACAATTGTCACTCGAACTTTCTATTCACCTTTAAATCCCTTTGTTGCCAAACCGACGCCTGTTTATCTTCGATGAGATCAAAGATTGCAGCCTGAGAACTATACCGGTTCGAACTTCGATTGTTGCTCTTGTAACAATCACCGAAGATAAGCTGCTAGAGTATCGTCTGTCTATTTAATTTGGAACGGGGTTGATTGATTTGATGTGGTATACTTTTTGATGACTGTTAAGTCTGATGAATCGTTTTTTTTCTGATACAACTGGGACAGACTAGACGACAAAATTAAGAAAGTTAGAAACTTAAGACACATGGTATATCAATGACCAATGTTTCTCTTTCAAAACATCACAAAGCTCCAATTAGCAATTACCTTACTTAGCATCTTCTAAAACCAAATTCTTGTAACGTCCTTTTATGTAGTTACCTATCACTTAGCAACTTGTTCTAACCCAAATCTTACTTAGCAGAAGTATCTGAATCCTTTATCACTTAGCAACAATGAGTCTAACCGAAATCTTCTTTCACAGAAGTGTGGAGTGCGGGCGGCGGGGCCGGCGGTGGAGGTACAGCATGCGGTAGCAGCGGCATGGACTTAAAGCACGAGGTAGCGTACCGCGGCGTGCTGCCAGGCGCGGTCAAGGCCGAACCAGGGGTCAGTCACAACGGCCACCAGGCCAACGGCCACGTGCGCGATTGGATGGCCGGCGGCGCGGGCGCGGGCGCGGGCGCTGGCTCCCCCTCACCTGGACCGCCGGTACAGCCGCAGCCGAACGGGTACTCCTCGCCCTTATCCTCAGGCAGCTACGGACCCTACAGCCCAAATGGAAAAATAGGTCAGTTACCTTACATTTTTTAGAAGAAACTATTTTTAATTTAGCAACTTTTGGACGGATGAAAGGTTAATGCTCTAGAATTTAAAAAAGGAAAAACCTAGATATTAACTCGTCGAGTACCGGTTTTATAGACACAATTAAAGAACAATAGGTCGCGGTCACCGGTGACCGCTTGGTGTTTGACAGTTTAATGATGTGATCAACGTATCACACTGTACCAACATGTTGACTAAGCTATAAATAAAAATGATATACAAGAACAAAAATTCTGTTTAGGCATCTCTCAATTATGGCTATCAAATATCAGCACTGTACCTAACTTGTAAGAAAATAATTATATTATTACAGACATATTAAGATAAGAACTGGTAAACATTTTATTTACTGTATACCTCTACATATAAATTCATTTTTTACAAAATTTGACAAAAACAACTGATTAAAGTTATCGTTGACCTTGAACAAGTTTACAGTCTGTTGTAGGCAAACTGAACGTATGCTCAAGGAGGACAGAACACGCGTAAACTGGAGAAAATATTGCCATTCAGTACTTAGCATGATGTAAAATTGGTCTGAGACATTTATAACTGATTCTACTCGACTTGAATGTCTATAAATGGGCCAAAAATATCTACACTACACGTAAAATCAGTTTGTACAGTCTCTTTATCTACTGCTCCATACGTGTTCTTCTACTTCATAAGTGTTTTGGACGTTTGAGGTTTACGAGAAAATGAGCTTCGTATTATTAAACTTCCTATATCAGAATAATTAATACCTCCAACTATTTCCACAAGACTCCAGGCACAGTCGAGCGTGATTGACACTAATTGTCACTCCACATTACCCATGAATGCTCACAAGCAATTTTACGCATGTACATAGTAAAATACGTGTTATTTCTTAACTAACAATGTCAGTTCTCGACCTAGTTTTCATAATGTGACCGAACATAATTGTGTAACAGCAGGGAGCTAAGTGAAGAACGGTAATCCTGCATTGAATGAGTGACCTACATGGGTAACAAAGAACTATAGTGAGATCGTTTCCCAACAGCCTTCAAGTATTAATGACAGACTAGGGCGGTATTAAATATAGTACATTTCTACTGTTCCCCAAGTAACAGTTAGAAAAGACCAGTTCCTTGATAGTTGTGGCAATTGTAGCTGATTGGTGATTTCTCTAAAAATAAATACCCCTTCTTGTTTCACCCACTTCTTTCCTAATTTGTTGAATTCGTTTATCAACTAATACAGCAAATAATTCTTAAAAATGATTTATATCAAACCGTAAAGTATAGTAAGCAAGTATAATCTGATAGTAAGCAATCGGCGTCGCCCATCGACACCTGGAACACCAAATTCCATGTTTTTTATAGTTTTATAAGTGCGTTACCGGCGTTTTGCGGATTAGGAATTTGGATTGTTGAGGATTTAGGGATTGGGAAGATTGGAGAAGGGGTGAGGGGTAATTGGGTCTTATATATAAAAGGATATAGAAAAGAAATCCATTTGTGGATTTACATATTACTTTCCTTATTAACTACTTAACATAATTTTACGATTTTAAAGTCAAAATAAAAATAAAATAACCGTTTGCTCATAAAGTTTGTTTGTCGAGATTGCTAATAACTACGATACCGCAAAACACGTTGTCTCTATAAAGACAAAAGGCTAGTAAAACAAAAATTTCGTCCAGCGAAAATTGACAAAAACATATTTCCATCCCCTATCTCTGTACTCGATCTAGGTTCGAAAAGGAAAGGGTCATACATTCGTATTCGCGAAATGACAGACGAAGGTATCTTCCGACATTTGATCGGATCACACGATAGACTTCCACGATTTATGAAGCTAACACAATTTTCTTCTTACACCAACTTGATACTTTCAGTGTCAAGTCGAGATGAACGATATCAATGAAAAATGGTGTCATTCGATATAGTTATGGTAATATGGTTCTTTATGTATTAAAGGAAGTATCTTAGTCCTTTTCAAATATATGAGGAAGTCAACGTTGCGATGAATCTTGTTACTTTTCTGTAATAACTTTAATAGGCGTTATACAGTCTATTGTACTTAGTTATGACTAGATTTCGAGACAAGAAAATTCTTTAATGTCTGCTACATCACATATATTACTTATCTAAATAACAATCTACTTCAATACATCTTTAACATTTTCGTACTAAATGAAATTGGACATCGCTTTGACCGTACCCTCTGTTCTCCTAAATTCATTGTTTCTTTAGATATTTATTCCAAGTGTTGAAACCCCACTAATTACCTTTAGTATCATACAAGCACACACATGCTAAAATAAAGTTCGCCCATCCACGCAATACTCAGAATCTGTTCGGCCGTTAGTTTGTCATGAGCTCCTTTGAGCGGCTTAATATGCTATCATCATTTATCTTAGGACTTACAACTTGAAGGAGAGCCCACACAAGCTGCTTAACTCGCACTGAATGTGTAAACAATCCCAAAATATGGTCACGATAATACTAATATATGATTCCAAACAGATTATCTACTAAATGAACATATACATACGATTCAGGCGCAACTTCTTCTTAAATATATATAATAATAGTTACTCTCGAGCGGGTTTCACTGGCACTGCTCGACTCCTGTTCATTGTAGCGTGATGTTTTATAGCTTATAACCTTTTTAGATAAATGATCTATCCGACACAAAAATAGTTTTTCAAATCGAATTAGCAGTTTCTGAGATTAGGACGTTCAAAGAAACAAACTACTCAATTTCATATAGAATATATTCAAGAGTATATTTACGCGCAACTTCTAATTTTTGCAAATTAATTGTCACATTTTTCCACTTCATTTATAAACATTTATTACCGACACACGTTTGAATATTCGTAATTAATTAATTATGACATAATGAATAGGGTTTACCGGTGGTGTTAATCAGAAACTACGCAATTAGGTATGCTGCAGGCTATGCGGGGAAAACCCATGTTTCTAAACAAAGAAACTGGTACTTATGGGCCACTAAAACGTTTATCACGTAGTCGATATTCATAGTTGTCTTGTGAGTCACTTTCCTTTGTAGATACTGAATTACAAATCATTTGTTAACTCTCGGTGACTTTGGAAAACAAATAGCTTCACTCACTAATTAACAGATTCTACTTTTTATTCAAAATACCTAATTTTCCTCTTCCACAGCCGGAAAACGACCACTGCTGGAGAAAGGCCCTCTACAATCCAAAAGTACCCACAATTGTATAATTGAAATAAATGCCTTCCCTTCCCTATTAACATAAAGGGATGGTCATAAAATATAAGGCATCGAAGTTACTTAAAAATACATATATTGACTAAAGAAAATCGCAGGAAGTTTCTTTGGTCGATTGTGTAGCCAGTCTGTAAATCATGTTCAAAAGTAAACTGTATTAAAATACCTAATACATGCATAAAGAATTCATTCGAAATTCTTAATCAAAGAACGGAACCGGGTCGCATTAAGTCAAATTAGTATGCCATGCTCCCAATGACTAAGAGATACGAAAAAGAAAGTGATAACAACGATAAACAATCATCACGTGGCAATGCAGAATGATTTCATAATGTTACAGTTACGTGCTATCGAAATTACCTACTTATTACATTTAGGTTAAGATTAGATTTCAAATGCAGTATAGATTGTAGGCTACAATCGGTCAAGTTGATTGGAAATGTTCGGGAAAAACCGTTTTCTATTAGCATGTTGTCAGCCAAACTCAAATTGCACTCATTGTTGTAGATAGATCTAAATTCCTGTCGAAATTTTACAGAGATGTGTAATTTTAGAGCATTTTACACAGTAGTGTGTTAAAAACAAGTAATAATAAGATTACAGGTTGGCAGCTTAAATATTTACACTAGTGTTTGCGACCTCTGACGACCCCGCTGCCCGCGCCCGCGCCGCTCACACTCTGCTACCAAGGACATGCTTCTGTTTACTCAAACTATTCGTGCTAATAACACATTCAACACCCATTTTACCAAGAACTCTAAAGTCGCATTCTATTTTCACTGACCAACCTCATTCGTCAAGACTGACGGGAATCGCAAGAGACCTCCTAACACTGGTCGACATCTTTATCAGTCTGAGGATGGATTTTTTCCGTGTTCCACGTTATCGTGCAAAGCGATAATGAGGGCAACGACCTGACTATTGCGTGATTTAGATAGTAATGCCGTCATGGAGATATTTTCATTCTGTTATCAGCCGTAAAAGTGTAATATACAAATTAAAACGTAACGAACCGAGAGAAAGCCACTAAATGCTAATTTCCATGACACTGGCACCATTAACATACCGACAACAACTCAAATAAAATGAGACTCTTATGGGCGTTGGTGAATCGTTAACGTCAAGTCGGAGATTTTCCATTACCCGTATACGAAGTCAAATTAGCCTCGAGGTCAGGCCGAGTTCGCGCTCCTCCGCTAACAAACCTAGGAAAACACGTTATTTGAATGTCTGAACACAACAGACGTGGATTGATGTATGTAATGAGGACTAGAGGCTTGCGCGTGTAGCGCCGCGCGCCGTGCTGCCAGGAGCTCACACCTCGTACCGAAACCTATGCTAAAACTGAGCGGATATTTTTAAATATTTTAACCTTCCACGACCTCTGTTACGACTTTGAATCTGACTGTAAAACGAAATAAAAAATATACGCAGACTTTACAAAAACAAAAAACACCGAAGTCGTAACTTCAAGATGGAGTCGGAACGTGCGTGGGACATTCTAACTCGATCTAAGTGATTCCACAAATCCGTGAGTCGTTAACACGGTTCCGAATTACCAATCCTCCATAAACATTATGACGTCATCTTTGGACAAAAATGGACCGATTCCGTTTCGGCTACCTGAATTTAATTCGCCATTACGATCTACTGGCGACGAAACCAGCGTCATGATTCACGCGCCTTTTATTAGTTCCGACGATGAAAACTGGGACGTTTCAGAGAATTAATTAAGAATAA